ACTTTTGCTTTGAATTTTATTTTATTTTCAAATTATTTGCAACTCTCTTTCAAAGTTGCTATTCAATCTGCTCCCATCACACTTTCACGTAAAACATAACTTGCTGTGTAACAATATCTTCCTCGCTCCCTCCCCAATATTTTTTCCAATTGCCTTAAATCTGAGTCCTCTAGTTAGTAATCATCCTGCCAATGGGAACAGTTGCTCCTGTGTTGTCTCCTCAAATGCCAACACCTTCCATTTAAATATCTCTCATAAAGGTCCTTTGTAACTTTTCTACTCTCACAACCCGTCACGTCTCTCGAAATGATTAAAATCCTAAAATCATCATAGGCTTTGGAAGAAAAGTAAAATATGTGGTTAAAATTACGGGAGGGTTGTATAAATGCGACATCAGACAGGCTAAAAGGGTTTGGGAATAGATTGTGAGTCATCAAAGAGGTATTTCTAAACAATCCAAGGAAGTAAATAAAGTGTTAAAGCGTGTGTAAATATTTCGTAATTAAGGATGCCACAATAGGCTCAAGAGTGAGCAAAGGTTGAAATTCCTAAATACCATTTTGCCAATATGTACTGAGGATGGTGAAAGTTAAATCGAAACTGTGACTGTCATAAATGTGACTGAGAGAAGCATTCAAAAAGATACTGTACTAAGCCAACTAAAATGAGAAAGGAACCTGGCCCTGATGGTATGTACACCGGAATATGCAGGGATATTGGAAAAGAAATAACGGAACACTAATAGGGAAGCAGAAATTGTGTCAGAAGGCTGGAAGTTCATGGAATCCTTACAGAGTGGAAGCAGGTCATTCAGTCCATCAAGTCCACACTGACCCTCCGAATAGCATCCCGTTCAAACCCAACCCCTCTACCCCAAGCCTGTAACCCTGCATTTCCCATGGCTAATCCACCTGACCGGCACATCGGTGGACTGTGGGAGGAAACTGGGGCACTTGGAGGAAATCCATGCAGACACGGGGAGAATGTGCAAACTCCAAATGGACAGTCGCCTGAGGGTGGAATTGAACCCAAGTCCTTGGCACTATGTGGTAGCAATGCTAACTACTGAGCCACCATGCCTTTCTCAAAAGAACTGCATAAATCACACAGTTGTCGATTTTTTAGTCTTATCTCAGCTGTGGGTAAATTTCTTGACTGCTCCATACTAGAGGGAGTCAATGAACACTTAGAAACTAATGGCATGATTGAGAATGATCAGCATGAACTCAAAGAACAGGGTTGTTCTTGACTAATGCAACTATTTTTGAAGAAGAATTTGAATTGTTTTTTGAAGACATTTGCTAAAATATCATATAACAGACTGGTTACGAGAACGGCATATTGTACCCTTATTAAAGCTAATGCTACCACATGGACAGAGAGTGGACTCAGAGAACAAAAACTCAGATAAACCAATGTCTCGCTGCTTGACAGGATGCTTAGTGATGTACCTTGAAATTGTGAACCTCTTGCTTGCCGTTCATATAATTAATGTGGATATCGGACACAAAATTTGGCACATATACTAAATTAGAGGACATGACAGATGGAAGGAAGACTCCAGGAGATTCGGAATGACACACAGGATAACAGAGATCAGTGACAGATATGGGCCAAAGAAGAGAAAAACAATGGTATTAATGCTGAGAAGAAGAATATCAAATTAATATATAGCATTTATGATAAAACACTTAATAGAATGAAAGAACAACAATCTCTAGAGCACATAAGGTAGGAGAATACATAGAAAATAACTTAAAAAGCAATTACAATTCTGGATTTTCTCCACATAAAACCAGGAAAGTGATGTTGAAATTGAAGTTGTTGACAGTGTCAAATAGGAATGATATGGTTGATCAGATAAAGGAACAGTGAAGAATTATTAGCTTGAAAGGCTTTAAGTCATGAAAGTTTCAAAATGTGGGCCTTTCTTCCTCTCATACAGACAATTTCAAGGGCGAGCAAACATTTGAAAGATTTTGAAAGGGCAAATTATTGAAGACTATTTCCAGTAGTTGGCACGTTACAAACGTGGAGACACAACCATAGTATTAACAAAAAAATGTCTGCTTTTTTCCCCTCAAGGATGGTCATAATGAAATTAAATTCTTGATCGCAGATGGTTATTAAGCCAATGCCCATACATTTAAAGGGAAGTGGAAGAGTTGTTTTTAAAAAAGGACTATAACAGGATTCAGTAAACAAATAGCAAAACGGGGATACTACTGACAGATCCAGTGGTAGAACCAGCACTGACACACAGTCGTATCATGTCTCGTTCTATAAATTGTACCATTTTGCAATTCTATGAGTCGGAGATAATAATCTTCAAACTCTTTAATCTAATCACACCTGGAGTCCTCTATTCATTTCTGGTAACTAATGGAATCATAACTTGAGAAATTTCATGGCCTAAATATACAGTCAGTGCTGTGCATGTTTGGCTTGCTGGGTCTATAGACTTCTAAAGAATTTTGAGTGGATCCCCCTTGCTGCCAATCTGGTAAGTCTTGCAGCTAACTGCGCACATATTTGCTGTGGGAATAAGTGGCATTAAACTCTAATGTCACTAACATGAAAAGGTCTGAGGAGAAAATAGTGTTGCAACTCAAATTTGAATATGCAATAACTCCTCTAATGCAGAAGCTCTCAGAAGAAGGAATTGAAAATATTTTAAAGTACTGATAAGTTTGAGACATGTCTTTGCTCCATAAGCACAGTAGCTGACAATGAAAACAGAAATTACCAAAAATAATCCAGCAGGTTGTCATAGATTCAGAGTTCTACAGCACGGAAACGGATCCTTTGGTCCAACTTGTCCCTCCCAGGCTAGGGGAGTTCAAAACTGGAGGGTAGTTTTAAGGTAAAAGGGGAAAGATTTAAAAGGGACCTGAGAGGTAGCTTTTTCACGCAGAGGGTGGTGAGTGTATGAAACAAGCTGCCAGAGGAAGTGGTGGGTTCTGTTACAATTACAATGTTTAAAAAGCATCTGGATAGATATATGAATAGTAAGGGTTTAGAGGGATATGGGCCAGATGCTGGCAAATGGGACTGGATCAGTTTGGGATAACTCTGCATCTTTTCATTCCACAGGTGTAACAAAATACTGGAACAGCAGAATTTTCCTCCAATGAAACATCGGAAAAACTAAAGCACACTGTAAAAAACACGGTGAATGCTGGAGAAACTCAGCCAAGTTCTGAGAAGTCATACTGGACTCAAAACATTAACTTACCACAGATGCTGCCAGACCTCCTGAGTTTCTCCAGCATTCTCTGTGCTTGTTTCAGATTTACAGAATCAACAGTATTTTGCCTCTATTAAAGCATACTATAATTGATCCTGGCGTAAATGTCATTCCCTGGTTGCCACTTCCATCCCTGATAACCGTCCGAGACTGAATCCTTAAGTTATGCCTGAAACCATGAAGAATTTTTGGCCACATATCTGTTCCATCTACAACATGCCTGCAATGTTGCTGGACACTGACACTGTCAGCTGATCTACTACTGTGACCCTTACCTGTGCCTTTGTCACCTCCAGACTTGCCCATTCTCATGCTGCCTGAATAGCCTGCTATACTCCACCTTGACAAATCCAAATCTCTTACTTCATTTTCTTAACTTGCACTAAGTCTCACTCATCCATCACATCTTGCTTGTTGACCTCCATTGATTCCTGCTGTGACAATAACTCAATTTCAAAATCTTCATCTTTGTTTTCAGATCTCTCTATGGCATCTCTCCTACCTATCTCCATAATCGCCTCCAGCTCGGTAAGCCCTCCAGATCTCTGCACTCCTCTGATTCTGGGACGTTGCATTTTCTCAATTTAATTGCTGGTGCCTACCACCACTAGTGTCCAGGCCTTCAACTGTCTAAACTACTCTGTCCATCTCTCAACCTCTAAGATGCTCCTTTGACCAGGATTTGAGTTATTTGTCTCGATATTTCCTTCTGTGTTTTGTGTCAAAAAAGATTTTTTATTGAATCATTGGTATTAAACATCCTGCATCATTTTGCTACATTATATATGCTGTATAAATGTGAGTTGTTGTTGTATATGCTGAAACACACAGGTTAAGCATGCACAGATAGCAATTCTGTCTCATTGCCTAATCCTGTTAGCTGCAAGTAGTTTACTTCTCCCTCCGAAAGAAATTAATTATTCAGAAAATAGTTCAGTATCGGAACTGTTTATTTCTTGATTAAAATCAAATAAGCATATAATTCAATTAAACACCTTTGAATTAGAGGAGTAGATTTTAGCAGGGTAGAGATTTAGTAGGATAATAGGAGAAGTAAATTTTGAAATCACTTTGGAGTAGCAAATTGCAAAACTGTCTTTGGAAATTTGGTGTTTGTGAAAAGACATTACACATGAATCACCTTTCATCAAATTTCAATTACTAACTTGGAATTGCACTGGCAAAAAAAAATAGAGCAAAGACATTGAGAAGGAGAAGCATGGAGAGAGACACAAACATGTAGAACACCAGGCAGAGAAAAAAAGCAGGGCATGTTAAACGGAGGGAGAAAGAGAAAGGAATGCAGAAAAATATTGGGACAGAGAGTGAGATTAAGAGGAAGCCTTCCTGTAAATATGTGTGGACAAATGTCATTTATTTGAAACAGAGGTACCATAATCTTCAAAGAAACTACACATTGCATCGATTGAAATTTCATGCATTTCACTAAATCCATTATTACAAAACAGACTGTGGACATTGCATTTGAATAAAACTTAAAGCATCTACAATTTACATAACGGTTCAGTTCAGCAACTCTGTGAAACACCCAACCTTTCATCAGAACTGCATTTTCATGTATAACAGGTTTGAACAAGTAAGATTTAACCAATATTTTTATGCTGAGACAGTAAAAAGCAGTTTGAATTTCAACACATTCTAAGAAATCACCATTTCAGTTTTCTTAGCATAAATCTTGTACAGTAAGCCCACAATGCATGGTTAGCTGTGAAAGTTGGTCTGTTTCACTTACCCAAAGTATCACACTTGTTTCTAGCTCTACAAATGTCTTCCCTAAAATCAAACAAATTAAACTATATAAGAATTTTTAATAAAGAATTAAATTCTGATCAGTACTGACAGAGGAAATTAATGTACAGTCTTGGGGTAGGGAATGATCAAGGGGTTCAAAAAATTACTCGACTATTATTATTAGCAACTAGAGATAATGTAGACTGGGCAGATACTGGCCTCTGAGGTTCAGGAAATATTAGACACAAACAAGCAAAGAAACTTCCCTTCCTCCTCTTGTCTGTGTTACTCTGATTTGGAATTCAGTACATCCAGAGCTCAAACAGGACATGCTAACATATCAAGATTACACTGGACTCTTACGTTGCTGTTTGGAAGTGTCAATGATAATTAAAGGAGACACACTATTTGTCTTCCATAAGATCGACAACTGCCCAGAAACTTCCTCATTGCAACTAGTTGAGTCTGATCATATGCCCTGAACTGATGGCTAATAACAACGTGTTGCATCTTTGTTTTGCAACAGTACCCAGTCCACGAATTGAACCATACTGACTGACTTTCAAGCACAAAACCTATCCAGCCAAGTACTTCATTCTAGCTTACTTTTGCATGTAATTCACATTTTGTTTCTAGTTAATACATTGCAGGATATTCATCTTGAAAACCATCATATAAAGAACTGAACGTAACTACCAGGTGATAGACGTGAAAATTTGGGATATGCAATAGTTACCTAGTGATGAGGACTGCAGTGTCATGATGGGATGGGTGTGCATCATCCAGGATGTTCTGTGTCTGCTGCCACACACAGAAGTTATGAAGAGTTGTAGCTGCATTAAAACTGATGGATGGTCCTTCCTGAATAGGTGAAGAATGCAAGACAGTAAGAATATGGAATGCTTTTTTTTTTATCTGCAGATGTTTCACTTGCAGCAGCAATTCAAAATGAAGGGTACGCTCATTGCAAAAAGGTTCAGTGTGATCAAGATTCATACCAGTCCTTAGAATTTCACACTGCCAACTGGCACATTCAAGGATCCTTGAGAGTCCCAGTATGTGCTGACATATATCAGGGGCAATTGGACTCTTCCCGTTTCACTCTTACTGCTACTCAAGTTAGTAGTGAACTAGACTGGACGATCACTCTCTCTTCACTCCCATTCCTTCTCCTCCCAGGCTGAGAAAAGACTAAAGTAAAAGCAGGAAGTGTTAAAGATGCTCAGCAAGTCCAGCAATATATGTGAAGTGTTTCAAGATGAATGAGACTCTTTGCTAGAACTGTTTCTGTGGAAATACTTGTAAGATAAGGAGTTTATCCCATCCGATTATCACAAAGACTGGCTGATCCAATCCAGCCATATAGGTCAATCAGTGGTAGTGATCAAGTTGGTGTAAGGACTGACAGGATCGAGGAGGGTGAAGGAGATAAATGGATGTAAATAAAAAGGACGGAGAAGGAAATACATGCACAACAGAAAAGGAGAAATGGAAGGGGATGGTTGACAATTTCACGGAGGCAATGGCTGTTTGGAAATGGGCAATAACTGAGATAAATGGATGATCTGCCTTTTTTCTCTTCATAAATATATCAGCAGATTATGTTGCAAAGTCCACATTGTTGCTTGTTTTCTCTTGTCACAGCTTTAAAATCAGGATCATTTTTGAGATGTCAGCTTGCAGAGAGCATGCCAGCTTTCCTGAGGTGGTTTCTGATTTTCTACACTGCACCAAACGAATCAGCAAGAAAAGGAGGAGGTTTAGCATGGCTTTTACGCTACAATTGCCATCGTATTGCTGGGTAAGTGCCATCCTGTTGAATACCCAAATAAACAAACTGCAGAATTCACGGGAAGACGTGAAGCTGCACAAGAGTGGAGCTTTAACCATCACAGGAGAGGGTTACTATGAGAAAGAGACTTTACAAAAGCTAAATGCCTAAACCCTAATCTATTAGTGAGCAAGCCATATGACTAGTCAGTAAGTGTGCCTTTGTTTCTCACTGTACCTTATCTTCCCCTCAATACTTACCTCACATGTTCATTCTGAATGAAAGACACACATTGCAGCAGCAAGTGATACCTTTAATCCTTACAACCCTCAAATCAATAAAGAGCTTTGTTCTTTAAAAATCACTTCTCTCTGAATATTCCCACTACATGTAGTCTAATCATGTCAATGAGGGGCCACATAGTAGCTGCTTTAATCTGCCACTTGAGCTCCTCACACATTTCTGATTTCTCAATTCTCTTTCTGTACTTGTAGGTCTAGGTGTCTTGATAGAAGGATGCTCGCTTGCAGAAAGTGTAGGGTACTATAGGCAGGAATTCTGGCCGCATGACACCAAATCAAATTTGCATCATATGAAAATAGTTGGTGTCAAACAGGATTGTGCTCAAGTGCATGCATGTGAAACTGTCTGGGAGCGACGGAGTGAGGGAGGAGGATGAGAAGGAATGATTCCTACATCTTTGCTCAATGGTTCTGGAAGATGGACATATGACATTAAATGTGGAAAGTGTTAGTATTTCCAGTTTGAGGATCATTAGACTCGAGGCTGTCCAAAGGATGAAGACAGAAAGCACCATTCCATCAAACCTGTTCACTTACTGAGATAAACTGAAACAAATGTGACCCATCAAAACAAAATTTCAATCATTGTATTGAGAGTAATCTGGTAAAATAGATTTCTCACTTGTTGTAGAATATGAATTGGATTTTGAGCAGGTTCTGTAATGAATAATCAATCACTAACAGATTATTTATCTATTTTCATACATTGAATATTGGAATGGGTGTTATGAAGCTAGTATAAACTACACATTCTGCTCTTCCCTTTCTGTAGGTATACCACTGGAAGCAATGTCATGACCATAAGCAGATAAATGGATTATGCTGATGATGATGATACCCAGTGGCATGACTGAGGTGGTGCATCGGTATCAGTTGGTGCAGTAAACCTACATCAGATGCAGACTGACTTGCCTGCCATTCCTCTCTCCTTTCTCCTCTTCACCCTATTATGCCAGGATTCCAACTGGAATACCTATGCTATAATTTGTAATTGCAACCACTGAAAATTCTCCAACTGGAAGCTTGGCTGCAAACCTTTAAAAAGCCACCAAAGCAAACAGCATAATAAAACTATCCTTAAACAGCAGTTTTACTGTACAGTGATTGAAATCTAACAAGTTCCCTTTTAATCCTGACCTGGTGTCACTTTCAGAAGAGGCCAAACTGCAGTGGGTCATTCCATACAAGTAAGGTCAATGTTCAGCACATTACCACCTTAGGTGATGGGAAACTTTGAAGATGGGCTTACTATTGCAATAAAACTCCGCTCTACTTTGACATGAGCCCTGTCTAGCTTCATTGCTGTCTTTTGGGCAGCAGAGAGCCAGTTTCTCTGGCGGGAATGGACTCTTCTCCATTATTGACATCAGCAGAAATAATCAGAGAGCACATACTGGGACATGGGCTGAGTGGTTGTAGCGATGAACTTGAAACTGATCAGTGGGCTCCTGAGATGCAGTGCTAGTGTCCCTACCTTTGGCCCAGGAGGCATAAGTACAGGTCCCAAAGGTAGACAAACAGGAGGCTGGAAGAACACAGCAGGCCAGGCAGCATCTGGAGGAAAGGAGCAGTCAACGTTTCGGGTATTACCCAGTTCAGGTCCCACCTACTCCAAAGGGGTATCACATTCTATCTGAGCAAGTTGATTAAAAATAGCTAAACTGGGATATCCTGAAAATCCATGCCCAAAACAAGTTTATTTTCATTTAATGAATCAAATAAGCATCTTATTAAATGTCTACAGTTTAAACCCTGAATGAATGAAGGTACTGGAATTCAACATTCAACAGAAAGTGATCCTACCCGTGTCCATTTGTGGATGTAAAGTTTTGCATTAGCAACTGTATCACTGGACTGGAAGGCAGGAGAAATTAGGGCAGACCTGCCTAGGCTGACCTCTGTACAGAGTGGTGTTAGACATGTGCACCAGGATAGGGTTGGGCTTGGCTATGATGCCCCCTTGTGGTCAAATTGATGACTGATCTCAATATCAAGGCTAACAAAACAGAAATGGACGCTTGCAAAAGTTATCCTCAAATTGCAGGTGTCTGGTGCCTATGAACACCATAAACCAGAAAATTTATCCTTCATCACCAATATTTGTTGTCCTTTTGCTTAAAATCAATATGTAGCCTTGGTTAATATTGCTCAAAATCTTGCCCCTTCCAACCTACACATACACCTGCCTTATTCCCTTACTATTGAGAATAATTCAGAGGCAAGCTTTCTCCTGTACTACATCATCCTGCTCAAGAACCTCAACAGTAAGGAACTCCTTCATTCAAAGTTATCTGTCTTAAAAGCTTCAATTTTTAAAACACAAGCTAAGCATCAAATTATGTCTTACAAGAGGTCATTATCTGAAATATTAACTGTTTCTCTCTCTCCAGAAACTGCCAGACCTGCTGAATACATTTGGCATCATCTGCATGTATTTCAGATTTCTAGAATCTGAGGTAACCTGATTTTTGATCTAACCATGTTTTCTTGATTTACCTTCATTTCTGTCACTTTTTTTTCCCCCACGGAGGTTGAGGTTTTGGTCACATACCTGGTTTTTTCAGTAAAATAAATTGGAAATTGATTCTTTCGTGGATATGTAAATAGGAGGAGATTGGCCAGAAAGGGGAATCTTCCTTGTCATGACATGTTAAAAGCTGCAGAATAATAATAACTTTGCATCCAAGGATATCTTTCTGACTACTGTCAACAAACCATAGGAAAAGGTTTGACAGAGTGACTGTTTGCCCTATATGGGCTCATCTTGCGTTTGACAAAGTTTTTGTTCTATTACCTTGGCTGCACCTTTTCCTCATATAAAAATATCTGTGGAGTTCAACCAATACCACTATTTAAACTTTCCTTGGTTTTCAAAGTATTCATTTTTCTATCATGTAATTAGTCATAGAGTCACACAGCACGGAAACAGACCTTGCGGTCCAACTCGTCCATGCTGACAAGGTTTCCCAAACTAAACTAGTCTCATTTGCCTGAGCTTGGCCCATATCCCTGTAAACCTGTCTTATTCATGTACCTGTCTAAATGCCTTTTAAATGTTGTAAGTGTACCTCGTTTTGAATTCCCCTATCCTAGGGAAAAGACCTTTGCTATTCACCATATCTATGCCTTCATGATTTTATAAACCTCTATTAGTCAACCCTCAACCTTCCATGCTCCAGAGAAAACAAGCCCCAGCCTATCCAGCCTTTCCTTATAACTCAAACCCCCCAGTCTCAGTATTATCCTGGTAAATCCTTCCTGCACCCTTTCGAATTTAATTCCTATAGCAGGGTGATCACAGTACTCCAAAAGTGGCCTCATCAATATCCTGTACAGCCACAACATAGAATCATAGAATCCCTACAGTGTGGAAGCAGGCCATTCAACCCATCATGTTCACACTGTCCCTCCGAAAACCATCCCACCTAGATCCAACCCCCTACCCTATCTTTGTACCTCTGCATTTTCTCTAGCTAATCCACTTAGCCTGCACATCTTTGGACACAACGGGCAATTTCGAATGGCCAATCTACATAACCTGCACACTTTTGTTACCTTGCACTTAATTGCCACCTTCCAATACCTTCCAATGTCAGCCACAAATGGAAGATTTTCCCCTAAAATTAAGGTGTAAATAAAGTGTAACCAATCAGAATGTCAGCACTGGGTCAGTGAAACAGAAATTTCGAAGTCAGGTTTTTAAAATAATAACAGAATGTGCTGGAAAATCTCAGCGGGTCTGGCAGCATTCATGGAGACAGAAACAGAAATAACATTTCGAACGACTGTAGAAAACTACTTCATGTATTTTGTGTCTGATTATTATTGGTAGATATACAATAGCTATTTCTCCACAGGCAGATAGTACACAGTATTCTCTTGTTGGCTGGTACCGAGCTTCTATGGGGCTACAGAGAATGTTAAATTATATTGGAGCAGTGCTGGAGCACACACTGTGGGATAATCACAGGTGGTAATGCAATGTTCACAGTCATCGCTGTAATTTCAAATGCTTCTGAAAGCAACACCACTTTTTATATTATTTCTTTTCTAGTTTAGTTTAAGCCAGATAATGATACTTCAAATACAAAAGTTGTACCTAATCAATTCCAAACAAATTTTGACTTAATAAAAACTTAAATGCAATTTAAAATGTCTACTGTAATAATTATAAAAGTTTGCTTTCACACTTGCTCTGCATCTGCAAAATGGGGCCAGTTAGTTCATTTGGCTGGATGGCTAGCTTACAATACAGCAATGGGACCAATAACATGGGTTCAATTCCTGCATTTACTGATTACCCCGTGAAGGACTTGCCTTCTCAACCTCTCGCCTGGCCTGGGGAGCGGTGACCCTCAGGTTAAACCACCACCAGTCATCTCTCTCTAATGGGAGAGTGGGACTATGGTGACTTTACCTTAGCTACTGCATTTTTATGCTGGAACTTTTTTTTTTAAAATAATCACATTTTTGAGGATCATGGAGCACACAGTTGTCTAGCGAACTGACAATGCACCTCCTGGGCTATGGTGTGAATACAGCCCAGAATAATTACACACTTAGATCTCAGGACTGGATAGGAAAGTGATAATGGAATGAGGTTTTCATTGCAGTTCACATGGAACCCAAGTGTAAAACTACATTTCAATGCAATAGGGAGACAGACGAAAACTAATGTCGATTGCATTGACTGGGGAGCCTGACTGCCTCTTTGCAGCTTAAGGGAGCTCTATTTATAAATTCAGGGTGAACATTTGTATGTTAGAAGATTTTCCTAGTTACCGACAGTATATCAAGAGAATATACTTATTTTTGCCAGTTGGGCCATCTCTGAGCATTATTGTTAATTATGAGGAAAATGCCTCATAATTTTAATACTGCTATTAAATTACCTCTTGACTTTCTCCGTTCTAGGGAAAAGTATGCCAGCTTTAGTTTCTACACATAACAAGTTGCCTCAATTGCTGGCATCATTCTGGGAAATCACTGTAGAGGCCTCTTCAAACCCTTGAAATCCTTCCTGAACTGTACCCAATGTTAGCCAATACTACAGCTGAGGCCTGACCAGTGAGCTATAGTAAACCTGTTTTTGCACGGTGTGAAAATGTTGTTCTGATGGCAAACTCTAAGCTGCTTCCCAATCATGAAAATATTTACCTCAATTCATATTACTTTGCAAAATTTTAAGCGTGGACTAAAAGTTGGTCACAGCTATATGTGGAAGGCAGGCCTGACGAAAATAAAAAGGATAGAGTTGAGGCAATCGAGGAGGAGTGAAGTAGAATAATGTGCCAGTTTTGGTGAGCCAGGCTTGACAGAGGTTCAGATTTATTTAAATTTCACTACTTTAGTCGGTCTACTGTGTTGTATGTTTTTTATTAAATAGCCAAACAGTTGACAGACTAAGAAAATGAAAATCACAAGAAAAATGTTTCTCAAAGTGTCCTTTGTGATTTGACTGATTTAGTCAGTTTTGTCCTTTTTATTATTTTATTCAATGTTTCCATTGACAAATTCTGATCAAAATAATTTCAGCCACAATCAATTTCTTTTCAGTTGGATTCAGTAAATTTGATAAACATATTTTGTTGTTACTAATGTGTAGTTCACAGGACATGACATGTAGGTGACACATAATGTGAAGAACTCACAAATATGGATTATCAAAGAAGATCGGTCAACAAAAGTAGCACTGAGCAAAAAAAAAGCACTGAAGAATTCTGACATAGGGAGTGGCAGGCCATTTTTCTTATTCTTCTGTTTTTATAATGTGAGACAAGTGAATAGAGGGGATGAGTACAATTGCTCAGGAAAATTGATCATTTCTGGTTGGTAATCTAGAAATCCCTAACTAATATCCACTTGTGTAGTTACAAATACCACCAATTCTGCCAAAGGAGAAAGGACATCTTCACATTCTCCTGGGTACTAGCGTTGCCTGTTAACAGCATCACCCACGTTCCAAAACGAAATCTTTGGAAATGAGTTTAAGGAAAATAATGCCTAAGGGAAATGAGATTGGGTAGCTTCTTATATTGATTGATATTTAATCTGGAATATATCAATGCAAAACGTTAGGTTAACATCACTGTCTAGAGAAGCTACAACAAAGATTTGGGCTCACCTGTTCATTATGAATCACATTTAACTTCACAATGACAATGTTGATGAGGTTACCAACACTTGGGTCTCGGTAGATTGCAGCTACCTAAAACAGACACATATTAAAGAGAGAGCAATGTTGAAAAAAATGTCAACTTTAGGATTTATACAGAACTGTTAAGGTTTACTGGAAAGTTAAAGTGATCACTCAGTTTCTAGAAGTTGGATACACCAAACAAAGGTATTTATTTAGATCCAAATGAATGAGATTTAAGGTTTTACTTGTTGGTGCAATGGTTTATCAATAAAAGTCAAGTACATTTTATTGAATTGTTACATGATCTTAAATGGGGAGATATATTCACATTTGTTGATACATCAGTCTTTCCTTTTTCCAACGGATGTTAGTTGATAGTTTAAGCGCTGATATTTTTCATAGCATACTGATTTTATTGGCAACAGAAACATGGATAAATATGGACAATTGACCTTATTTCTGAAGGCCACTGAAGTGGGCTTTTGGCCAACTTGTCAACTCCCAGGTATCCTCTAACTAGCAACACTAGAGTATAAATCACCTGATTGAGAGATTAAATAAACAGGTTGCTATCTTAATAGCACTTCCAGTTCAATCCCCATTTCCCACCTTCTCCTCTTGAAGGTAGATATGTTGGGGGTAGCCACTTCTACAATCATTTTTCATTTAGGAGCTCAAACGAGTGATGTTAGCAGGAAACATGTAAATGTTAAATTTGAACCTGGCCTTAATTGAATTTACACTTTTTATCATGTCCAGAGAATATCATTTGAGAGTTGGGACACTTTTTGAATTTGCCTCACTTGCTGAAGCCAATTGAATGCTCATCTGAATGCAAACAGCAAGGACTGGGAGTCAGATCTATTTCGCTATAGGAGATACACCCAGTCAGTCAACATGTCAAACCATTTATATCTCCAATAGAGCTTGTATTATGAAGAATATGCCGAAAAAGATCTATTGAGAACTAAAATCTCAAATGTTTCCAAATCACATGCACAATTGCCATTTTTGTTTAAATATTGAATATTTCAAGACACGGCATGCCTGAATGGAGAGTTCTAGCAGAGACATTCAGATCTAGGGGCTCACACATGTGAATCTCCAAAACTGGCCAATGGTTAAAACTGGCAAAAGTTACCCAGAGGAGGCAATAAACTCTGTTTTGTAAACAGTTTCAGTATTGATTTGCAAAAATGAGAAATTATGTGCCACACTCAGCTAGGAATAAATCATTGTTGTACAGGATATTGGTGAGGCCTCTTCTGGAGTACTGCTTCCAGTTCTGGTCTCCCTGTTATAGGAAGAGTATTATTAAACTGAGAAGGTTCAGAAGAGATTTACCAAGATGTTGCCAGGATTGGAGGGTCCGAGTAATAAGTAGAGGCTGGATGGGCTGAGACTGTGGCTGTTTATTGGATCTTGCTGTGTACAACTTGCATGCTCTGTTTCCTACCTTGCAACTATAACTAAATTTCAAAATCAGAATTATTCTCTTATGAATAATCATTAAACAAATTTTGGCAGGCAGCTGTACAGTTAAATTTACTGAAATGCTTTTTACCAAACACTTCACATAGAGGTGTGGTTTTGAGAACATATGCAGAACAATATAAATAAACATGTCAGTACCTGTTTGTTCTCCACAGAAAAGGAAGAAATTTAGGAAACGTGAGAAAGCGAAATCACGTGAGAAAGGGTATACAGGTTCTCCAGACTCAAGGTATATTTACATAGAATCCCTGTGCAGTTTTAATCAAGGTTTAATTAGAATAACTGTAGCTGTTGATCATTTCTTATCACGTATTGAATCAGATGAAATCTGGTACAATGTGGGACATCTTTACACGGAGCATTAAGAGGAATTTTAAATAAACTGGGAATCAGCTCCAAAAAGTACATTTCAACAGATAATTCTCCTTTTTGGAATGTAAGGCTAAAGCTTAAAGTTGAGTAGCTAAAACAGTTTCACTGTGGAGAAGATACTCCTCAAAACATTTGATCTGAACTATTCCTTATTAAGAAATTGAAACCGTCTTTTAAACATAGAGCTGGCATATGCTCACTTGTAAAACAGATTTTCTATGATATATTGAGCGGAACATTTATTAAACTTGTATGCCAGAGTGTTAAGGCTTGCACTTAAATGATTGGCAGAATTTAATTCTTCACTTTCAACTTCTACAAACTAGAGTTTTAGAATTTTATTTGAAAAATCAGTGTAAAAAAAATTATTCTGAGTAAATATGCAGCATTAGCAATACCCCATAGCTTATTTCTAGATATTACCTAGCTACTTTCTTGGGTACTGGGTGTCCTTTTGTTTATGGTTGAGATTATGGTTTACCAGCAAAGATGTACCTGCTGTCATTCATAATACTTTTGATTGTCATGTGCTTTCTGGTAAAAGGATGTTCGGCCAACCTCCCAGGTTAACCATATGAAGTCACAGCAATGTGTTTGCATTTACTACTGGTCTGGTGTTGAACGGTCTCCAACATCCAAATAGTGGACTCACCCATTGTCTTTTAAATTTTCGTCTATACATGCTAAAGTCTCTGATGTTTTAAGGCACTTCACCAACTGGTCTGGGAAAGAAATTAGAAGGGTCACAGTTGAAAGCAGTCAGTTAGGCTACACTGGGACGTATGTGTTCCCATGGGAATGCTCCCAAAGTACTATAACTTTGAGCCACAATGACCAATATAGTTACATCTAAGAGAAAATCCTATTTGAAAGCATTCTGTAGTATCCAAGGGACTTTAATGAGCAATGCGTTTTACACAGATGTCCTTGTGTCAATTAAAATATTGGCAACATCTTGTGGGCATTGCTTCAGCTCGGGTTTGTTCAGCTGCTGTCTTTGTTGAAGATGTGATGGCAACTGGGATAAAGGAACTATGGGCAGGACTTTGCATTCATACTTCCTCATTCACAGGGATTCCCTTCCCTAAATGAACTTCCTATGGAGGCAAGTTTCACTGAAATGCGGTGAAGAAACATTTTGTTTACTCAATTAAAAAGAACTAAAAATGAATCATGTCTGGAGCATTAATTCTGAGGATTAGGGTAATAATTAGTGTCAAAATTAAAAATGTTAATCATTTATCGCAGAATTCCATGGTACATCAGGTTGAATTGTTTCTGCAAATGCTCAAACGCAAATTTTGGAAAATGGAATACATGGGTGGTTTAGGGAAAAAGTTGTATAGAGTGACTTTAATGTGTTCCTCAACTATTTCCATAAATCACAACACTATCAACTGGGTCACATAGACTGCAACAGTACATGTTTAGGGCAAGTAAAGAATATTTATCTAAGATGCATTTGTGTGGTAAAATGGACTTGAAAACTGTCCTTTCGTCATAGGGAGCTAGTTTTAAATATTACTCTTGATTGGTTAGATATTAACTTTTTATACACTCTTTTTGACAATTGCTGACAAAGTAGTGAGTTTGAACATTTAGTTTCCTGTTGGTGGTCCACAAAACAGACCTCGCAGTATCTCAGCACTAGATAATTACCCTCTGATGTGACTATTAAATACCACGTATAGAAAGAAAACTCTTCAACTGAGTCATCACCATACCAAACTAAGAATTGACATATCATAGCCATTAACTGTTTACAATGTGCAGATGCCTGCTGTGTTGTTGTACAATCAGCAACATTGATCCTGACAGTGACATACCCATATCCCACAAAAGAGTTTTTTAAAAAAGTCACAAAGGCTATACATCAAACTGATAAGACCAAATAAAAGATCACCAAATATCAGACTTTCAAAAGACATTTATTCCAACACTTCCGTATTAGGTTTTCCATTTCAAAACTGGTTTACATGTGAATGAAATCACCAAGAATGATTATTGCTACTATGACGTAAAGAGGGGTGAATTAGCTCCCCTCTTTGTAACCCCTTCAAGCAACTGCAACGAAGATTTTCAAGTCTCTTCAAACACAGAGCTGTATCACAATTCAATTAAAATGTAATTCGTTGGGTTAAAAGTAAGGCGCCAAGTATATGATTTACGTGAGCGAAAGAGTGAGGAATTTCAGTACTAACCTTAAGGAAAATAATAAAACATGTGAAACACAGGTATAAAGTCTAATAAAAAGGAGATTAAAAAATGTAAAAATGCAGTTTTGATTATCCTGGAGTTATAGTTGAACCTGAGACTGTGGCTGTTTAGCTTGTTATGATTCAGGTTTGCTCCTGACATTATTCTCCATATTCAAACCATAACACTACAAATCACCAGGCAAGTAGCCCACTGCCTCCATTGCATCTGGGATTACACTATGTATCTTAGTTTTGTGTTTCGAAATTATCGGCCACTCCCAACACTATATACAACAAACAGGATGCCTTCCAACAACAGTACAGTGCTCTTTACAGAGGCGGAAGGGAACAAAATAGATGCCAAGCCAAAGTGATACATTGAGAAATCAAAGGAATGCGTCTTGAGGAGGAGAGGAAGGTAAAGAGTTAGACAGCCCTTTGGAATTCCACAGCACAAAGTTCAAGTGCCTAAAAACCTTGGGTAACGATGCTAAAGGGGACTAAAATGGTTAGAATTTGAAGATGTCTAATGGAGGTACACTAGTGTTAGAGGAGTTCACAGAAAATGAAAAGACAGTGCCATGGAGAACTTTTGTGACAACAGATCAGAATTTTATATCTGAAATTTTCAGGAACTAGGAGACAGTACTGGTCAAAGTAGGAGTGTGATTGGCAAACAGAACTTTACATAATGTAGGTTACAATTTTGAACAAACTGGTGTTTGGACTGGGAGATGGACAGGAAAAAAATTGGAATTGTTGAGTTTGAAGTTGAAAGGCATCGATAAGGGATGCAGTTGCAACTGAGCTTAGATAAGGTGGAAGCAGGAGATGTTATGAAGGTGGAAGTGGACTACCTTTGTGTTAGAGAGGCTATGGGGCAAGAAATTATCTGGGACTGAACAGAACATCTAAGCTTTAAGCAATCTAGCTCATTCTGAGTCTATGGGCAGCAGGGAAAATGGATTGAGAAACAAAAGGCAATTGTTTAGATCTTCTCAATGT